AGGTCAGGTCAGCATATTACACTGCCCTGAATAACCTTTGCCATAACACTGAAATAACTGAGGTCAGGTCAGGTCAGCATATTACACTGCCCTGAATAACCTTTGCCATAACACTGAAATAACTGAGGTCAGGTCAGCATATTACACTACCCTAAATAACCTTTGCCATAACACTGAAATAGCTGAGGTCAGGGTAGCATATTACACTACCCTGCATGATCTTTGCTGTAACACTGAAGTACTGAAGAAGATAAAAATATTCTGACTAACCTGTGTTGTAACTCTAGCGTAACTGTGACAAGGAATTCTACAGTGCCATGGATGTCTGGTGTACGAATCACATCAAAGTCTCCGCTCTCTTCTAATTCCCTTATGACATTCTGAGAAAAGACAATACCAGGGCTGTCAAGGAAATACTTTGAAAGGCGTCAAGGCTGATGAGACATCTAGGGGATGACCTTTAAAACCTGCACACATCCTGTGCCTCGAATTTTAAAAGCCTCTTATTTTTTGGACAGTTTTTTAAATATTAAAAGTAAGCCCTCTAGAGGCAGAAAATCTATATACTCACTTTGACTTGCATTACAGAGGGATTTCCACACCTAGCAACCCCACCACACTCATCTCCACATGTCACTCTGTAGGCTTCTGGCGTAGATTCAATTACATATTTTAATGCCACTTCCAAGTTTCCTTTGGTGTACTCATTCCTAAAATAAACAAAATAAGGTTGTGTGTGAATAAAATTGAATTACCTTTAAATTATCATACCAAAGTTTATCATTTTATGATAGGAATCTATGTACCGCAATAAGACTTTTTTAATCATGTGACCACAATGTCTACACAAACTTCAAACATTATGTACCACCTAGGTTAGTCATGATTAGCACATAGGGATATTGAGGTAATTACTGTCAGTGTTTCATGCCTGTGAAGAAGATCCATAGGCAATGTCAAGCCACTGAGACTCACTTCCATTCCAGCATCTGTTGTTTCTGTCTGAAGTATCTTCCATCTTTAAGACTCCATGCCATGTCGTCTGCCCTCTTACGTTCTACCAAAACTGGTAGAATTTTCTCCTGTCTTCCACGCCTCCATACCCAACAATAGTCACCGCACCTGAGGTGTTGAGTCTTGTGACGTACACCGGTTTGGGTCAGACATCTGCTGAGCTGCAAACCAAGTTAAACAACATCTTTCTCTAAGAGCACTTTGAACAACATCAACAAATAGCTAATGTGACAACTGCACGTGTAGTGATAAAAACCAGTGACACTGTATCAATTCAAACCAGGCTAGGAAATCCTATAGATTATACACCTGGCAGTTTGAAATTTACAATTCCAAATTTCTACATACTCTTACAACTAATATAAATATTATAAGTATTAGATGCAAAATAAAGTCTAAAATATTGCGTAAATATGAATTTAAATGCTTGTATGTGATCTATAGAACGTGCTAAGGATTTAAATATGAAACACTTCCTACTTGCCTCACCCAGTCTACATCTCTCCCACCTTGTTCATGGATATCAACTAATAAAAGAATACCATCTAACCCATCATCGTTACTGTACAATGCATCAGATGCTCCATTCTCTAAACATTTGGCATGAGTGTTGTGTGGTTGTATATTGCTGTCAGTCTGTGTGTCGTGTTTGGGGGAGTGGACATCTGGTCTTGTACCTATCAAGACAACAACATTATTCTTTAGTACCCTGTGGACAAGAAAACTAAATCAAGCCAGAAAACATAACCATATACTGTGAGCATAATTTGAAAGACCAGTCACCACAACATGACAGTTTTAACTAATGGACAATACCAAATCTATATTTTCTAAATTTGATTTGAGATCACAACTTTTACGAATCAAACAATTGAACTGCCAACCCAAATCCAGAATGTTATCCACAAAGTTCAAACTTGATACACATGAAACAAAATGACTTGTTGAACTCTACCCTGCAGTAATTATAGATTTCTGGTAAACATATTCTTTCCTTGGATTATTCAAAATTGGTTCATGTCACATATGCTCAATGGCTATTAATATTAGTTCAAGATCAATTGTGCAACACCGAGCATTTGGCAGCCCATCAAATCAAACATAACATTGTACTTTTATGCATATTTGGATTTAAATTAGTGATTGCAGCACTAGGATGACAAAGATGGATTGTTTGATGTATTACGTAACTAAAATATTATGTTATAAAGAAACCTAAAAATGACAAACCTCTCAATCGATGTGCGATATGAAAACCAGCTTCCAGTAACTCATAAACTGGTAGTTTATTTTGTGATCTTTTCTTTATGTATCCTCTAGAGCACAGCACATTAAGTCTCCACCATGCCATGCAGAAAACTGGAAGAAAAGTACACTACTTTGTTCACAGTGGAAATTGTCACATACCAGCCACCCTCACCTTCCCAAATCAGTCACATACCAGCCACCCTCACCTCCCCAAGTCAGTCATATACCAGCCACCCTCACCTCCCCAAGTCAGTCATATACCAGCCACCCTCATCTCCACAAGTCAGTCACATACCTACCACCCTCATCGACCCAAGTCGGTCACATACCAGCCACCCTCACCTCCCCAAGTCAGTAATATACCAGCCACCCTCACCTTCCCTAGTCAGTCATATACCAAGTACCCTCACCTCTCCAAGTCAGTCATATACCAGCCACCCTCACCTTCCCAAGTCAGTCATATACCAGCCACCCTCACCTTCCCAAGTCAGTCACATACCAGCCATCCTCACCTCCCCAAGTCATTCACATACCAGCCACCCTCACCTCCCCAAGTCAGTCATATACCAGCTACCCTCACCTCCCCAAGTTTGTCACATATCAGATACCCTCACCTCCCCAAGTCAGTCACATACCAGCCACCCTCACCTCCCCAAGTCAGTCACATACCAGCCACCCTCACCTCCCCAAGTCAGTCACATACCAGCCACCCTCACCTCCCCAAGTCAGTCATATACCAGCT